TAGAAAGCATCATCTTCTGTGTCTGATAGAAAATGCCCCCCACAAGAGCAAAGCTGTATTGGATGGCACCACACTGGGCCTTTAAACCATCTTGTGTGGCTGAGACCCTTGAATACTAACACCTCAGGTCTCTCCTCACCCCTGTGACTGCTCGTGTTTTGATAAACCCATAAAAGCTGACCAGGAAATAGTACTGGGTTTGCGTGGCAAGCTGTTAGTCATGGAGGGGCTACAGGGCTGGTTTCTGTGAAAGCTGCTAGAAGCTTTCCCCGTGTCTGGTAGAGCCAATGCCAGATGGCTCAAAGACAGACCCACCCCTGGCCAAGGCTGAGCCCATCAGTGACGGTGGTAGAGCCCCTGGGGTATCACAGTAAAGGGGGAGAGGGTAACTGCAGTGAGAAAGAGGAGTGAAAGAGAATACGTGAGAGAAACAGCCCTGCAGACACCAAGGTCAGTGCAAAAGGAGGGGGAAGAGGTGCTCCAGGCATCAAAGGTTCCTCTGCAGCCCGTGGGGAAGACCCTGGTGGGGCAGGCTGTCTCCCCTGCAACCCAAGTAGGTCTATGGTGGAGCAACCTGTGGAGGACCCCACAGTGGGATGCCTGAAGGAGGCTGTGACACCGTGGGAAGCTCATGCTGGATCTCCTGGCAGGACCTGTGGATCCATGGAGAGAGGAGCCCATGCTGGAGCAGGTTTGCTGGTGGGATTGGTGACCCTACAGGGGACTCACACTAGAGCAGTCTGTTCCTGAAGAAGTGCACCCTGTGGAGGGACCTCACACTGGAGTTAATGAAGAACTGCAGGCTGTGGGATTGACTCACATTGGAGAAGTTTGTGGAGGACTGTTTCCCATGGGTAGGACCCCATGCTGAAGCAGGTGAAGAGCGTGAGGAGTCCTCACCCTGAGAAGGAAGGAGCAGCACAGACAACAAGTGATAAACTGACTGCAACTCCCTGCACTGCCAGAGGGGAGTAGGTAGGGGAAATCAGAAGCAAAGTTGAGCCAAGGGCGAAGGGAGAGGTGGGAGGAAGGTGTTTTAAGATTTGGTTTTGTTTTCTCATCACCCTACTTCGATCTGATTAGTAATAAATTAAATTAATTTTCCCCCAAGTTAAGTCTGTTTTGCCTGTGACAGTAATTGGTGAATGATCTCTCCCTGTCCTTACCTTGACCCATGAGCCTTTTGTTATATTTTCTGTCCTGCTGTTATATTTCCTATATCCTGCTGAGAAGGAGAGCATTAGAGCAGCTTTGGTGGATGTCTGGGGTCCAGCCAGGGTAAAGCCACCACCAAAAGAAAGCCCAAACTCATCCACTGATGATACGCAGCACTCCCATCCTGTCCATCTGCAATATGTCCCGAGTCTGAGCCCACACATGTAAACACAGACTTCTTCCCTGAGAAAACACACAGACTGGATCAGCCATGAGTGTGTCTTTGACTCCACTCTTGAAATAAGGCAGAGAGGTGGGAGGGAACAGTACACGGGCTTCTAAGAATCTGGGAAGGCAAGTTGTTTCAGTTTCCCATATGGCAAATGGGAAGCGGCTGAGCAATGTGTCTCCAAACCAGAGGGACTAAAGAAGACCCTGATCCCAGAGGAAGCAGTGTGGATGTGGGAGAGATAATTGATCTTCACTTTTTTTTTAAAGCTAGAGCAAGAAGGTGATCATGGACTTTCCTGAAGCAAGAAGGGTTTTCCTCCCAGACCAACAGCGGCTGGAGAGTTCACTTTTTCCAGGTCTGAAGGAGGGTTCAGGACTCTGCCTGTGCGATGGATTTGATTATGCCAGTCTTGTGCTATCTATTGGCTTAAAAGTGGTGTAAAAGACCAAAGAGGCTGAGTGGAAGGGATCATTTGCCTAAGGGGAAATGAGGAGGTGACAGCTAGAAGATACAAAGAGCATTAATTTCTGGGCTCAGCAGTTCAAAATATCTTCAGGCTCAGCTCAAATGTTCCATGGCAAGCCCCTATTTCTTCATGTATTGCAAAAATTCATAGGTGGATAGGGACATCTGGAGATTTCTAGCTGAAACCCCTTAGTCACAACAGAGCTGTTTACAAAGCTATGTCAGATTGTTCCGCTTAACCAGAAGTGTCAACTGGTTTTCACCCAACACAACAGCTTTGTTGTTCATCTGCAACAGCCAGACCTGTCCCAGTAGGTTTGGCACCATCTTTCATGGCCACAGCCTTTGTGGAGTTTGCTCATCACCCCAGTGGGTCCAGGTCCCATGCATCCAGTGATCTCTGCCAAGGAGTGAGGGATCACTCTCTCAATCCATGCCAGGACAGAGACCCAGATAATACTCAGCAGGTGGCTTTACCTGCTCCCAGCACTGGTGTCAGCATTTGCCTTTCTAAATCACACAAAAGGGCCATAGGAAGCAGAAATGGTCGGTCCAGAGGGAAGTCTAGCAGAGCCTGCAGGGGCATGACTAACACCTCCACAACTCTCTCAAAGGAATCAAGTCCAGAGGAGGAGGAGAAAGATGGAATTCTCCAGCGCCGCCCAGCCGGCAGGACCGGAGCTGCTGTAAGCTTGGAGCAGGTGCCATCATAAGCATGGAAGGGATAGCTGAGGGAGTTCTGCCCCCAGCTGATGAGGTTAACAGATGGCCACAGGAATTAAATGAAATGAGCAGAGAATTAGCACAGAGCCCAGAAAGGCGAATAAGGCCTGGAATGGTATCATCACTTCTGAGGAATCACTGGTGAAGACAGGTTTTGTTCTTACTTTGATGACACCAGCACGACACGATTGATCTCACTGTGGAAGAAGAATCAGGCCGAAAGATGAAAAGCACCTGCAGATTCGGACACAAATCAAGCACACAGGCAGGCTTGAGATGCAGTGCACTGCAAAACCCTGCAATCTCAACTTTTTTTGGAAATGTATGCAGCTGCTTGCTGTGCTCACTCTGTCATCCAAAATACCACCGGATATAGCATGGATCTTTGCAGGTCTACAGGGAGGGAAGAAACCATGTGATTTCCTACTGTGTTACCTGTAGCCCTCACCTCGACTCAGAGAAGATGTCCTGCAGGTCACCGAGATGAAAAAAATCCCATAGCAGTTTTGTTTCTAACTATTTCTGTATCCATAGCTGTATCTTCCAAATTTCCATAGACAATAACAAAGGTGTTCAATAAACTGAGTAAGATGGAAGAAGCTGTGGAATCAAGGGGCCCATAGAGACATGGAGAAGCTGTCTGGCAGCCCTTTGTCACTTCCCTCCATCCTGCAGTGTTTCCCTCAGAAGAAAAGAAGGCTGGTTGATCACACTGCTAGTGCTGGCCTAACATTCAGCTGCTGCCCCACTTCCTTCTGAATGACTGCCTTGATAGAACCAGTGGTACTGGTGTTGTATCCACACAGGAAGCAGAGATGGAGTTATGTCTCCACAACTTCTCACTGGCAAGTACATTCTTCACTACCCATAGCCAGGCTCTGCTGCAGGAGTGGGAAAGAAGCATGAAAATTGTAATCTGCTTCTGCAGAGATTGTATCTCATCCGCTGATATTTTATCTTCAGTACTGAACAGTAAAAGGTTACTACTGCGCAGAAAGTTTGGGGCAGTACTGAGGATTTGCCCCAGTATTAAAGTGTCTTGAACAGAGGCTAGAAACCGTAATTTTTTAAAATGGAGCAATAGCAGAAAGCCAAAAATTGTGACAGCATGGCTACAAGGTACATACAAGTTGACGCAGCCCATTGATCACAGCGCCCAAGGCAGGAGGGAGCAGGGAGGGGCATGGCAAGTCACTCCCAGGCAGCAGCAACCTGCTTTTGAAACCCACGGTTCATAGGGAAAGGCACTCAAGCCGGTTGAGACTCCAGCTGCCAAGGAAGTCTCCACCAAAAACGGATGCTAGGGGAGCACTGCACCCACACCAAGCAGTGCAGTAAGATCCCACCCGGCAGGCATGCGCCCCTGGAGACATTCACGGGTGGGCAGGAGCTTGGCAGCAGCTGTGTCCCTCTGTGCCCTGCAGTGAAACGTGGGCATTTAGAGAAAATGACAGTGGATGCTTTGCCCCTCCGGAGACAAGAAACTGTTTGCACTTACAGCATCTGATCCGTTGCTGCAGTCGGACAACCACAAAGCCACTGACGCTCGGACAAAAGCTGGTATTATTTACAGCCCCCGGTGGCTCGTTGCGTGATTGCCAAAGTACGAGTTTAAAAAGGAAGAAACACAGAACAGCAGCTTTAAAGGTCTGCACAGATAAAAGGACAAATGCTTGACAGCTCTCCCCCAGGCAGCTGGTGGGACAAAGAACTGAAGCTCTTGCCTCTTAAAATGCTCCCTGGTCTCTGTGACTGATGCCGTGTGAGTCATTCCTGAAGCCAGCCAGGGCAGGAGGCCATAGGGCAGCGCACGGTAAGAGCAACACTGGGCCACGTCCAGCAGCTGCAGCTTGAGTTTCCTTTCCAACCCTCTTCTGCCCAGTGCTGAGACCCAACAGAGCTCCAGGACAGCCCTGGAGCTTTGTCCGGTGTTTGTGCCATGCCCTTGCTGTAACTGCAGCACGAGGCAGAGAGCAGGATCCAAACACCCTGCCCGAGGGGCCCTTCAAATAACCAACACATGCCCTTTGATCAACTTTGAGCTCTCACCTCCACCTACTGCTGGGCAAACCACCCTCCTCTTCCCACAAGCCAACTCCCACTGAACCCATCAGGATGTAAAGACACAGCCATGCACACGGGCAGTTTGAAATACTTTTTAAACGCTTTTATTTACAGTGCTTGTTGAAAACAATATATATATTTATATCTATCACCCTCGTGATGTCTGTGCCGTAGAAAACGCTGTGGCTGTATTGCCTTAAATTTACAAAAAATGGTCACAAGAAAATCTGAAGGGAAAACATGGAAATCAAAGTTTGGTCCCCAATTGTGTCTCTCTTGATTTGTTTTAAAAAAGCCACCAAATTAAAAAAATATGCAGCTCAATGAAATTCATATATAAAAGCAACCCTTATGTTCCGAAAAATTCACGAGGGCCAGCTTGCTGTCATGTAAACTTGGAAAAAAAAAGAAAAGCTTAAAATAAATTCTGTCTCCATGTGTCGCTTAATAGAACCATTATTTGCTTGTAATATTCTTTGTCTCTCGGGGTTCAGCGGGAAAGCGGATGAGAAGAGGCCTGGGACTGGGAAATGCACCATGAGGTCTCTGCCCGCAGCCTCCTGGCTCAGGGAGGAGGTCTGACAGCAGGGCTGGGGAGCAGGAGCTCTCAAGAATCTCACACCAGTGACAAAAACAGGCGGGCAGGTGAAAAGGGGAGGGAGGGGAGGTGCTTTGCCATGTGAGGGGCCTGGCGAGGTTATGTGCCGAGCCCCAAGGAACCATGAGATGCTTGAGGGAAGAGGACCACTGGTAAGTGGGGCACAGGTGAAGGGATGTGGGAGACTAGGATAATTTCAGCTGGGGAATGTCATGGATGGACTAGGTCTTTGGGTGACAAGGGAACTGCTGTCTTCCCTGTTTGAGAGCATTTCTAATGTTTCCTCATCTGAGATTATGTGAAGCCAGAGGCTAACGGGCAGTGCAAGCACAGGCTGGAATGGAGGAGGAGATGGACGGAACAGGGGAGATGGGAGGGGAGGGCTCAAGCCGAAGAGCCATTTTCTGTCTTCTGTCTCTTTGGATCCACTTCATCCTACATCAGACACGGAGAGCAAAAAGGAGGAGTTATCAAACAATCACCACACCGAGGCCCATAATTTCTTCACAAAATTCTTAACTGCTGCTCTTTCCTCCATATGGAAATCTCTTGTTTGGCTCCCCCTAAATCCACTCCTCTCTAAAGCACCCTTGAGTGCCTGACACAGCTGTTCTGTTGGTGCTTACAGTGAAGAGATGGACAGCTCCATTCGCAGGGACACGCATGCTGTTACTTTGGGAGGTTTAAGAAGCCCAGGCTCATGTCACTCCAGAAAGACCCCAAGATCCACCCTCACAAGTCCACCTCCTGGCCTGAAGCCCAGAAGACGTGAGTGGTTCAGGGGTCATGGCCAAGCACAACCTCAAGCACCTTGACTCTCACTCACCCAGCACTGTGACTGCTGGTGGAAGGACCTGTATCCAACAAGTTGACAAGGGTTTATTATCCCCTTGCCACATCAGATTTGTTTACCCATCTGCTGCTGAAGCAATGAGACCTGAGGCCAATTTGACATGCTCAGCAGCAGCATCCACATGGATTTGATCAGCACTCAGCAAATAACCTAGTTCCTTTCCCCCACCATTACTCTCATGCTACTCCTCACCTCTTCCTCCTCTGCAGATCGTTTCTCTGCGTGACCATCCTGCTCTTGCCCATTCTCATCTCCTTCTAAGCACAAGCAAGAGAGAAAATCATGGGTTAACTGAAATAGCATTTAAGGGAACGTAATCTCACAGTCAGAGGGCTTAGAAAAGGAATTTCCCTCCATGATCCTGTATTTCCCCACAGCCTGATTCCTCCAATTTTCCTTATACCAATTATTCCTACCTTCATCTTCATCACCACCTTCTTCTTCATCCACATCATCAGGATTTTCTTCGTCGTCCTCGTCAGCTCCGTTTTCCTCATCCTGAATTAAACAAATTGGTCAGAGTAGAAACTGGCACCAGGAAGACATTTCCACGTGCTCTTTGCTGCAAGTGCAACAACAATTTCCAGAGCTCCAGCCCCTTCAGACTCTAGTCTCAGATGTGCGAGTGCATTGTTACTCCGACAACATTATTCCCACCACTCCTCCTGAACACTCCTCCCAACCAGCCTTCTTTCACAAAACAAATCCTTCCAGTCCCTCCCCAACAACAGGAACCTCCTTGTCTCCCATGAGCTTACATGCCAACAAGCTGCTGCCATGCCATCCCACCAACCAGAACATCTCTCTGGTTACAGGCTAATGACTTAGCCTGTGCTCATGGTACATCTGCTTCCAGATCCCTTCTGACCTTCGTCAATCTGTGCATTTCCTCACTGTTGTGCCCCCCACCTTCTCCAACTCGCACTTAGGTACCTCAGGATACTTAAGTGGGTGCAGGACCACGTCTCCCCTGCCACCTTTTCCCACTTGTTCTCAACTCCGCTCCCTTCTTTGATCTTTTCTCTTCACAACAGGCCGCACTGACTACGCTAAATCCTTCAAGGCTCATTCTCCACAATTATCTGACAGCTCGCTCTCCGTTTACCCCTCTCCCTCAGGAGGCTCCCTCAGCCTGCCCTCTGTCTTAATCTCCTGTATTCCCTTCGTATTCATTACCCACAGCGAGCATAAAACCCTCCCCGAGATCTCTAAGTCTGTCCCTCGGAAGGGTCTCACCTCTACTATCTCCTTTTTCTTTTCTTTGTGGACTGCTTTTTCCTCGAGTTTTTCCTTCTTTTCTTTCCTTTCCTATATGTGAAATGAAGGGAATAAAAAAAAAAAACAAAAAACACAACGAACCCATCAACATTCCAGCGGTCAGCGGCAATAACAGACGGGGATGCTGAAACAAAGAGGGCTCGGAGGAGAGGCGGAATAACGGGAGAGGAGACATATTAGGCGTTAAATCCGCCCGCCTCGACAAAGGGGAAAAAAAAAAAAAAAGAAAGGCAGCGAACGCGCGTCAGAGCTACTTTTAGCCGCCACACGCGTGTGGAAACCAGAAGCGGCACGGAAGAGCTTTAGGGATTGTTTTTTTTTTTAATTATTATTATTAATTTAAAAAAAAACCACCAAAAAACAAACAAACAACACAAACGAGTTCGTAGGATCGAGGCGTTTCTGGACCTCTCTCTCTCTCTCTCTTTCCATTCCCCGCGCATTGTGTCCACACAACTTTCCCCCCCCTTCCACGGCCCTGACACCGTTTCCCCCCTTTCCTCCTCCCCCCACGACAGGCCCGGTGCGCGCTGCGCCGCCCGGCCAATGGGAGGCGGGGGCGGGCGAGGGCGCGAGGGACCTCGCGCCCCCGCCCGCCCTGCCCCCCATTGGCCAGGCGGCGCTGCCGCCCGCCGTCCGGGCACCTCGCGGCGTCCCTCGCCCTCCCCCGCCCTCAATCCCAATTCCCTTCCCTTCCCGACGGGAAGGATGATGGTGGAGGAGGGGGGTGGTCCTCACCTTAGCGCTCAGCTCCGCCGGTGCCTCCTCGACGCGTTTTTCCGACATCCTGGCCCCGCGGTGGCGAAGGGGGGAAGAGGCCGGTGGGAAGCGTGCGAGGGAGGAAGGAGGGAGGGAGGGAGCGAGGAGGGGGTCAGCGGCGGGAGCGCGGAGTCCCAGCGGTCGGCGGGCGGGATCCCGCCCCGGGGGCCAAAGTACCAGGGTCTCCCGCGGTGGGGGGATCCGCCGGGGCAGGGGATTTATACAGCGGCCGGTGACGAGGGAAGGAGGGACCTGGGGAGGGAGGAGAGAGGGACGGGAGGCGGAGGAGGGAGGGGAGAGGGATGGGCCGCTAGAACAATGTGCGCTCCGCCGCGGCCGCCCAGCAGCAGGGGCGCACCGCGGGTCCCCGCTAAGGCGCTGCGCGGCCCCGTCGAGGCCGGGCGAGAGCTCCGCTCCACGCCGAGCAGCGGGGCTGGGGCACCGACGGGCGCTGCCCGGGGAAGGGAAGCCGAGCTTTGTGCCCGCGGCACGGCGGGAAACCGCCCGCACAGGCTGGCCGGCTCTCCCCGAGGCACCTGGGGGAGGCGAGGAGCGGCGCTGCGGGGCCGTGTGGGAGGGCAGCGCTGGCGACACGCGGCCTCCTGCCTGGAATTTTCCACTCCAGCTGCCCGCCCGCCCGTCCGCCCTCCCGCTGGAAGCGCTCCCAGCGGCGAGGCTCCTCCCGCCGCTCCCCTCCTCTCCCTCCTGCCCCCCCCTCCCGGCGCTGGGCGCTTTTCCCGCGCTCTGAGCTCGGCAGGGAGAGTGGGCGGGGCCTCGCGAGTGGAGTGGGTGGAGCATCATGTGGGCGGGGCCTCTGGGCGTTGGGGGAGGGGCAGATTAGCGATCGCATTCCCCCCCCTCTCCTGTCCCCATATAAGGAGGGGCTCGCGGCGAGACGTCTGATTGGGCTATTCAAATGAGCTCTCTGCCTGGCAACAGGTTTCCCATTGGCTGGCGGCGGCCGGCTCGCGGGGGGGGCGCGCGGCCGTTTGGTGCAGCGGGAGGGGCCGCTGGCACGTGGGGTAGCGGGAAGGCGCGCGAGGGACCGGGAGCCGCTCCGCGCCCGTGGCCCTGGGATGGAGAGTCCCGCCGGGATCGGCTCGGACCCTGCACGGGACCGCCCTCCGCCTTCGGTGGGCGCCTCGGGGACCGGCCGGGCAGCGCACGGCGTGCAACACTGACCCCTGCCGTCCGGCCGCCTCGGAACCCGGGCTGTGGCAGACGCTCTGGTGGGGCCCCCCTCCGGGCTGGGAAGGATCTTCGCCCAGCTACGAGTCTCCCTATAGCCAAAGGTCCTTCCTGCAGAACGGCAGGTGGTGGCTTGCAGCTGCAGGGATTTGTTGCTAACGAAACAGATGTTCCCGTAGCCGCGCTTCAGACCGTTGTTTATCAGCTTGAGCAGATCGGGATGACTAAATTCCCTTCACCTTCCCTGGAAGGTTTATATTGTCCTGCTCTTAGTCACAGGCACACACATGCACACACACAGAAAATCTGCATGAGTTTGCAAGCCTACAATCAAAACTAAGTGTGCACTTGAGCACATATGGGTGTACACGTGTACACAGTCATTCTCACAGGTACAAGGCAAGGTTATTAATCCATCCGGTTGGAAAATGCATTGAGGCACACGAGTCCTCTTTGTCCTTCAGACACAAACTCGGCCTCTGTGTGAAGTCAGGATTTAGGAACTGATGCTATGAGTTTAGTCGCCTGTGTCTCGGAGCATTTACTAGAAAAAGTGATTGGTATTTGTGGAACAGGGAGGGCACCAAGTACATCTCTCCTGGAGGAAAGTATGTAGGGGATGGGATAAATTATAATCTGTGTGACAGGGAGGTAGGAGGTCCCCACCTTGTCATCTCATCTCTTCCACAGCTACAGCTGCTTCTCTGATGATCTGACTATTCAACATTCTTCCCAGCTACACACAGTGCATGGTGCCTGCCCCAAAGAAGCAGTCATGTAACTCAGACTTACAGATCTAGACTAGTACCAAAATAAAACATCATGAAAATGCATGCATTGATTATTTTTTATCCCCCAACTGTTTTACAAAACCTCTCTGGCCAAATTTTCAAGGCTGTCAGCTATCAGCATTTGAAATCTTGTTTGGTTCAAGTACCCTTCTTTCATCCTTCTCTTCTGCAAGAAGAAAAATCCTAATTTCCAGAGCTACATCCAAAACTGGGAGCCAAACAAATTCTCTGAAGTGGCCAAATGTTGTTCCTCTCTGCTTCTGCTTGTCAGGAGACGCATGGCTCATGGCTCTACTGTTCTCTTCACCGATCCAGGATTTTATCTTTTCCTTTACATGCTCAGCTACTGAAAATGCAAAACTACACCAACATGTATCCCTTGGCAAAGACATTTTCACATTAATGCACAAACAGGCCTTGACACAACATCCTAGAGGGGAAAAAGCAAGGATTATGTTCAGTGATGTCGCCGTGCCCAGAGCTCTGTGTTGACACAGATTGCACACCCACAGATGCAAATAGGCAAACACCTGTTTGTGTGAGGGAAGCGTGTTTCCAGCAACCTGTAGAATGGGGCTGTTGGGTCAGTGCTACAAACTGGCCACTGACCATCTCTCCCTTTTTCCCCCAGCACTTGCAGTGTGCAGGCTAACATTGTCCCTTCCACACTCCCCACCATATCCCCTTTGCTGTCTTTACTTCATCTGCTGCTTCTCGGCATTTGACTCCTACCTGTGTCCTTGGTAGCATTCTTCCCATGGCCCTTTCCCTGGCTTCTCTTTGTGACATCCTGTATCACATGTACAAAATTCATCTTGTATCCCTTCCTTTTGTTTTCCACATCCCATTTTGCCCTGCATGCATGTGTCAACTATGTTTTTCCCTTTAAATCCAATGTGAAACTCTTCTTCCTTCCTTGTGACCTGCCAATTTCTGCATTCCGACTACTTGCCCTTCAGATCCCAATGGTGAGATTCCCTGGGTTTCTAATGTGAAGCTGCCTCCCTCAGGCCTTGAGGGATCCCTTGACTGTCTCACCTAGCTCTTCTCTATGTCTCTCTATGTCTTCTGCTCCTCCACCTGATCTGTGCTGCTCCACATTTTGCCTGCCAGATCAATCTGCAGCTTTTCTCTGCTCCTCTTTCCCATCTGTGCTTTTCCCTTTGTTGCAAATGTGGGTATACTCACTGTGCGCTCTGCAGATGCCAGTCCCTGTTCAGTATGTTCTGTAGTCTTTGTCTGTAGTATCTCTGCCTACTCAGCAGAATATATTCCATCCCTTTTGGAGACTTAGGTCCTTAGACAAAATGAGGGAGATGCAGAAGTTACATGACAGATCACTGTGTGGAACAGACACTCAGTGTGTCTGCCTGCAGCCTGGACAACAATGAGAGTGTCATTTTCACTGTACAAAGTCACAATTTTGGTGCTGTTTGTGCTTGGTGTTTATGCAGTGTGCATGTGTTTAGGTGCAGTACCTACCTGTTTGTGTACAGAGGGGATATTTTCCCTCTGTTACATGCATTTACTTATGTGAGTGTAGAAAGTATGGTCCTTTTCTACTGAGGCATGCACTGAGCTTGCAGGCGTGTGTCATCATACATAAGCACGTGGTTGCAATGTGTTTGGGCTTTCATGCACAGTATGTATTTTTCTGCTTCTGGAATATGCAGGGTGAGTGCACCTAGAAGCAATTATTTATGCATTTTGGTTTAATACTTGGCTAGTCTTGTCACTATTCCATTGGGGGGTACGGGAGACAAGGACTTTTCTGTTTGTGTTGAAGGCTGAACTAACTCTCAGCCATTTTCTGAGCAAAAGCAAAACACAGTACTGGGTATTTTAAGAATTATGTTTAGTGAACTAACTTGTAAGTGATTCCAAAACTCCCCCAAACTGTTCACTGAATAACAAAAGAGCAGAAGGATGTGTATTTGCATTAAGTTCTCTTAAATTTACATAAATCCAGAAACAGAGAGTATCTGTCCTTTCGCTTACAGCAAATCTAGCAAAATCTCAATGTGCAGAGGGAATGCGTTTGAATGCATTTATGTATTTAATCCACACTGTTCATCTTTCTGTACTGCGTCCATTAAAAATCCAGGCAGATAATCAGCTTTGTTCTTCTTTCACGATGCTGTATCCTGAAGTTAAGAGGAAATACCCAAGAATTCAACCAGCGGCCAACTTTGCATTGGGAAATGGCTTCCTGAGATGCAGCACATTTAAATAAGCCCTGCAGGAGGGCTGGGAAGCAAGGGTAGGTAACACAAGGAGAGGAAGCAAGAGGAGTAGAAGGGAGTGATGAGCCTGTCAGAAGACTGGGAAGGGAAGGGATGTTTTCAATCGAGATTTTTGAGAGCCTCCCTTTGCTAACACAGCACAGATGGAGGTCGTGGTTCTCACTCACAGTGTGACAGACGCACTCTAAACACGAGCAAAATATTCTGAAAGTAATCGCTGCCACGCAACGCAAGCTGCAGCCACCACAAGCTGGCTCTAGCATCCCAAATATGAATTGTCACATTTGAGGTTCAAATCCTAGCTGTCCTTCACTCAGGGTGCCCTTCATCTGAGGTCAGAGTTAGTTGTGGGGTGGCAATTACATAAGAGGCACAGATGAAGGGAACCAATGAGGAAATGGCTGTGAGTAGCTCCGACTTCTGGTAACGAGGATTTCTTTGTCTTACAGGCGTCCATAGGGGCCCTGGAACATTTGGATGCAATAAGAAGCTGTTTCTGTCTTCCTGGCCCAAATGATCGGTCCCAGGTAACGAGGCATGATTTTTCACCGTACCCTTTATTTACCTACACCACGTGATACTCAGTTTGCTTTTCAGACGCTTCCGCCACGGCTACCCCTCGGCTGTGCCGCTGAGGGCCATGGGGATGCCGGGGGGGGGCTGTTGGCAGCAGCCAGCGGTAGGCGGGAGAAGGTGGAGCTGAGGGCAGCAGCGCCATTCATCCCGCTTCCATTTTGCCCTTCACTCATCTCCTCCAGGCTGCCTGCTGAGCTCCTTCTCCCTCCCCTTCCCCCACTCCTTGCTGCTTCCAGCACAACCTGGGCAGCTTAAAAAAAATAAAAAAAAGAAAGAAAGGAAATGAGGAGACATAATTGTTTTTATTTGTGATGAAAAGAGAAGCAGCCTGAATAGAGAATGTGAGAGGAGCAGGATGGGAGTCTTGTTTTTCATTCACAACCCCACGTTGCTCATTATTCTGACCTAGCAAATGGCCAGCCCCTTGGAACATGTTAGGCATAATGTGGTGAGTACTGTACAGAAACCTCTCCTACAGATAGTGCCGTAACAGCTCCTGCATTCCTCAGAACTGTGGTCTTGTCCACATTCCAGATAAAAGGTTGCCTTTCCAATTCCTCCTTCCAGGGTTTCACCCAGCATTTGCCACCAGCACAACTCTCTGCAAACCAGGCTCTCTCAAGGTTTGCTGAGCTGGTAATAGGCCT